AAAAAAAAAAAAAAAAAAAAAAAAAAAACTCTAAAATTTTGAGTTTAACCAAAAATCCCCAAATCCAAATCCAAACAGAATCTCATTAGAATGGAAAACAATACCACTGAAATATACTCCCACGCTAGTTTCGTGATTGTTGGTCTTCTCACAGCCCGTTGCCATGTGAATAATTATAAGGTGGCAAACTTCAGCAGTAACTTCAAAGCGCCCTGAAGGGGACGGAGAGAACCAGCAGGAAGGAAATGCGCTCTTAAACGAAAGAATGTCTGTGCCTGTTGTCAAAACTCAGTAGAATGCCAGCTTGAGGGCAGGGGAGCCATGCTCGCCAGGCTGGGCCAGCCTCCACTCACCTAGGGAATCAGACTTGTGAGCCCACTCAAGGGTCTCCCAGAAGGTGAGCTTGCAGTGCAAAAATCAAAGAGGGCTTCGTGCAGCCCGTGGGCTGCCGCGAGAGGTTGTGCTGGTTCTAAAGGCGGCTGCTCCTGTTCCCTTAGGCCCCTTAAGGCATACCTGATACCCCAGGAACAAGTCCTAAACCACAGCACTGCCGTGCCTAGCAGCCGGGTAATAGTTTTCTCTTGTCCCTGGGTATAGGCAGGGAAGCAGCATGAGGAGACAGAGGCAGAGGCCTGATGTGCTTTATTTTTCATGGGAAATCTGTTTGCACCACAATTAAATAATCTACCCCAAGCGACACATTGTGTGCAAGATGTAGGACTCTCATTCTGGCCCAGATTTCTGAACAGCCCTGTATTCCATATGAGATCACCACCATTTGCTTTGCTTTTATCTGGGTGACAAGGTGCCTTACTCATCCCCAGTCTAGCCAGGCATGATGGCCCATGCCTGTAATCTTAGAAGCTGAGGCAGGAGGATCACCATGAGTTTGAGGCCAGCCTGGGCTACCTATTGAAACCCTCTCTCAAACAACAGACCAAGAAAAAAAAAATCAGTCTTTGACTACATATATATGTGTGTGTGTGGCTTTTAAAGTAAAATCATTGCTTTTTTCTCTTGTAGCTTAATTTTTCTGGTCACTATCTTTTTAGATAAAAATATACACTCTGGAAGAGCAAGATGTCATATCAGTTTGGGTTGAGAAACGTGTGAAATGCCCAGCACGCCTGGCTTATCGTCTCTTGTGCGACTTCACGAAGCGGCCGTCATGGGACCCGCATTACACGTAAGAACAAGTCGCATGTCTTCCCCAGTCAGCCGGTGGCGTCACTGTCCCGCTGTCTCCCTCACTCCAAGGCCTTCCCACGCTTGCTCCGCACAGCACACTGCACCAGGGATGCCGACCGGCTGGGAATGAGTCCACTCATGTGTGCTCTGTGTTCACGCGCCATCTTTACCCTGGTCTGCCGCAGTCCCAGCCCTAAACTCAGGGCTGACACCACCTGGGTGTCTGACATTTGCCCAGGAGTTCACACTGGCCATCCAGAGGCAGGACCCGACTGGTCTCCATCTCTGCCAGGTCTTGAGGTCCACGCTCTTGGGCCTCCATACACAGCCCCACTCCTGACCCTTACTGGGAAGCTCCTTCTTCATCCTCAAAGCCTCACTCCCTGCAGGCAGCTGCGGACTGAGTCACGTCCTGAGGGGGCAGCACTCCTTCCTCCCAGCAGCCTCTGCTCTTACCCCGCCATTTCCTGCCGCCTCACCCCGACCCAGTCTCCTCTGGCTTCCTCCCTTTCCTGGGACACCCTCCGCCCTCCACACACACACGCACAGAGGGTTCCACATCTTCGAATCCAGCCAACCTTGGATGGAACATATTGGGGAAAATTATGTCTGTATGGAACAAACACAGACCTTTGTTTATTAACTTGATTTCCTAGACAATCTAGTAGAACAACTATGTAAATAGCATTCATATTATATAAGTAATGCAGACGCAATTTACAGGATACAGGAAGATATGCAGGGACTACATGGAAACACGAAGACATTTTATAGGAGGAATTTGCACATCTCCTAACTTTGGTATCCGTGGGGTTCCTGTTCCTGACCCCACAGCGCTGAGGGTGCCTGTCCACGACCTGGCAGTGACAGTGGCCCTCGGCTGGTCCTCTTCCCCTGAGAACCCTGCTGGGCCCCCTCAACCCCATGAAGAAAAAGAAGGGCCGCTGAGATGGGCTCCCTCTATTATGATATTATTTCCAAATTCAGGCAAGTTAGAGGCTTATCTAACATTTCTAAAGCTTGCTGTGATTGATAGCATGTAGCAGACGAGGTGGGACATCTCTGAGGTGAGGCATGATTTTGCATAGATGCCTGAATAATACATCACGGCCAAGGCCACCAAGATAAAACATCCTGAGAGGAGGAAGCCTCTATACATTTTCACATTCATATTTGCAGACTCTCTGTTAGTACAAAGCTCTTAGGAAGAACAATGCCTAAAATTGTATGTTAATTGTTTTATAACATTTCTTCTGCAATCTTCATGTCCCTTGGCATCCCATCCAAACTGACCTTGAATGGAGGAAGAGTGGATTCCAGCTCCACCTTGGGGGCTGCTGGGTTGGTGTTTTCCCTTAGCCTGCACAGCTGCTCACGGTGCTCTGCTATCCGCTTCACGGAAGAAGTCACAAAGTGCCTCGCCTGAGGCAGCCGCAGTCTGAAGTCAGAGCAAGCTGACCCCAGAGCCAGCGCCCTTCCAGCCACACCTCTGTACCTTGCAGTCTCTGGGGGCTGTCTGTGTACTTCAGCAGGCTGCAAAGTATTTTACTGATTCTAGAGAAAAACAGACAAGTGGGAAATGGCTCCATGCCTTTCTCCGAAGTCCCGAGAGCTGGCACCAGCTCCATCACTCACAGCTCCGTTCCTGCGGAGAGCTCGCTGTGAAGGCAGCTGCTGAGCAGCGCATGGCTCTGGGAGGCGAACGCAGCCACCGCAGTGAGGTCACAGAAGCTCCCTGTCAGGGAGAGGAGCCGGCCCTGACCACACTGCCCCCACAGGTCCTGCAACCTCATAAACCAGGTGAGTGAGGACGACCAGATCTATCACATCACCTGTGCTAATGTGAACGGCGACAAACCCAAGGACTTCGTCGTACTCGTGTCAGGAAGAAAGCCTCCCACAGACGGGTGAGTGTACGCAGCTCCATGCATGGCAGGGCTGTGGCGTAGGGCATAGAAATGGAAAGCAGGGAAGGCAGTAGGCTTTTCATGATACTCCCCCGAATTTCTTTAGATGGATCCTTAGCTATCACTGAAAATAACAATCCTGTACCAAGTGCTGGTGAGCCAAGTACCACAGAGGGACCAGAGCTGCTCCTCCTCCTGTTTTGTCCCAAGTAATCCCATACATGGATGTCAGGGTCTGAGGCTGTTACGTCAGAAGGCATGAGACATAGCCTAAGCCTAGGGTGCATCCTACAGCTTCCAGCAAATCTGTACCACAGAGCAGGGTGCCACCTCTAAAATGGAAGAAGTCACTCTTGAAGGGCGAATATAAAGCCACCTCTAAAGACTTCCTATTAGCTGAAAAATTAAACTGTAGGTCGTATCTGTAAGATGGTTGTATTTATGTAGAACTGCGCATTATGCTTCTAGATGTTATTAGTGTATGTTTGATGTTTGTTCCAAAGTCTACAGAGCTGCCTGCCAGAATGTCAAGAAGCCCTAGCATGCAGGAGGGGAAGGGGATTGGAACTCTGTGGACTGCAGGAAGACTTTTCTAGCGTATAGGGTTCTCTATTGTTTGATGGTTCTTTAAAACAATGGCGGTTGCTTTTGTAATTTAAAACAGAGGAGGCTGGAATCACAGCTCAGTTTGGAGGTTGGCTCAGCTTTGTGGGATTGTACATGTGATTCTTAGGCAGACGGTCCTGTGGCCCCAGCTCCTTTTCCCAGTCTCTGAGTGCTGCCACAGAGATTTCCTGGCGCAGAGGACTCATCCATAAGAGCTGGGTCTTCAGCGCCCCTCTTCTACCTGGGTAAACGAGTGAACTGCATGGTGGGTGGGGCTGTGGCTCCACGGCCAAGCGCTTGTCGGCCTGCAGGAGGCCCTGGGCTGGATCCCCAGTGCTACGAAGAAAGAAGCCCACACTGCACACACGATGGGAACATGTTTCCTGGCTGGGACACAAGTTCTCACCTTTCAGGAACACATACCTGGTGGCAGTGAAGTCGGTGGTCCTGCCGGCCGTCCCACCGTCTCCATGGTATACCAGAAGCGAAGTGGTGTGTGCAGGCTTTCTCATCCAGCCCACCGACAGCAGCTCCTGCACCGTGAGTTTGACGAAACAGCTACCATTTAGTTTTCTCTGGCCGATGTGGGAGAAGCTCCTCGGTCCTCCAGATTTCCACATTAATTGCAGTCCAACATTTTGCATCCACATGAAGGGGTTCCTGAGGTCAGCTTTTCAAGATCCAGTCCAGAAGTCCCCAGTAGTTCCTAGCTGCAGCCTCTTCTACACCAACAAAATTCAGATCATTGCTAAGAAAAGCTCCAAGCCAATCAGAAGCTAAAATGTTGTTTTCTGTTGAAACAGGTATCTTACCTGAACCAGATGTCGGCCAGCATCCTCCCTTACTTTGCTGGAAATCTTGGTGGCTGGTCAAAGTCCATCGAAGAAGCAGCAGCTTCCTGCATACGATTCATAGAGAGTGGTAATGACGATGCCATCTTTTAAACGGTCAGGTTACAGTTACCTGTAATTTGATTTCCCACTTTAATTCCATGTACCCTTGCCAGGTGATGGACTCAGAATGACTGACTTTCAGACCAAGAAAAACAGTTCAGAAGAGGTCAAAACCAAACTGCGTCTCAAGTAAGACCCCCGTGATTTGACTTAGCATCCACAGAGCTTTAAACTGTGTAGAGGGAACAGGCTCTGCCTCTTCCAGGGCACAGAAATTGGAAAACTGCCTGGATGTAAAATTGCACGTTCTCTAGAGTGATGCAAATTCAGTTTGAATTATCATATGCGTTTGGGCTACAGGGGGGCAATGAGCACTGTTTGAAATTTTCCAAAGTGTCAAATGATGATTTGCTGTCACTGAGTAACGTATGGTGTGGTTCCACGTGCAGCAGGAATCTGTGTCAGGGCATCTGACAAGATGTATTACATATCTTAGGGCTTCAGATTAGGGAGGCATTAAAACATAATAGAACCCGATCGATTTCAGTAATGGGCACTGCTTTATTAGCGTCACTCTGCATGGACTCCAGGTGGCTGGCGTTAGTGCAGAGCGCTGTGTACAGACACGGAGGACCTGCAGGGCGGGCTCCGTGCAGGGAGCACTCACCTGGCGCCCTCCTAACTGCACAGCCCTCCACGGGACCTTTACTAGCCCACACTGTGACTTATCTCCCAGAAAATGTCATCAGCGCCCTCTGCAGGACAGCGTTTAGAAGGTGAAGGAGCTCTCCAGTGAGAGCACCTAACAGGCGCAACAAGCAGGCCATTACTTTGCCAAATCTTTCCCCGCTTTACTTGCAGTGCTGGGGATCAAACCCAGGGCCCTGAGCCTGCTGGGCAAGCACTCCTCCCGGAGCCACGCCCTCAGCCCATTTGCCAAGTCTGTACCTCTGCTCCCCATGTCTGCCCCGGGGCTGGTCACCATTAATTCTGTTGGTCTAAGTCTCTGTCGGCAGGTTTTTATGTCTATGAACTTCTTTGGGCTGTGCTGCAATTTCATGAATTAATATTTATATATAATAAAGCAGGTGCATAAATTATAATAATTATTCATTACATTTAGGATGTAAAAAAAGATTTTTGAGAATATTTTTACATTTTTTAAAGGTGAAAAAAGTATCCTTTCAGACTTTTCCTATAATTAACACGCATCTAAATGCCGCCTGCCTAGCCTTGGTCTTTGAATTTGTATGTTCTGAACTTTTTATCTGAACAGGACTGGGGCTGGAGTTGTGGCAACTCCAGCTGTCACACTGAGGTGTGGTGTGGTGCACTGTGGACCCCTCAGTACGAGCACATGATCCCAGACCCCAGGGGTGGACTGAGGCACTGGCAGCACAGAGCGCTTGCTGTGTCTGCGCCCACACACCCACACCCTACGGCAACGCGCAGACAACGAACTGGGCTCAATCCAGTGTTAACAACAATAATGAATGATGAAATAAAACAGTGACGATACACTGTAATAAAAGCTATGCGGTGTGGTCTATCACACCACCTTACTTGAGCTGTATCCTCCTTTCTCTTGGGATGACGAGATGGTGTGGTACTTCCATGATGACATGAAGGAGGTCAGTGACACAGCCTTGTACCGCGCTGCACCTGAAGACCAGGAAAGCTGTGACAGCACTCAGGGAGGGTGGCACACGCAGCAGGCTGCCATGGAGAAAGGGCCGGCCCGTCTCCTCGGCAGGACAGAGCGGTGCTGTGCAAGATCTCCTCATTGTACTCAGGGTAAATTTACACATTGTTAATTTCTGGAATCTCACATTCAATATTTTCAGACAGAATTTAAGTGAGGGTAGGTGAAACCACAGAAAGCAAAGTCACAGCTAAGCAGGGACCGTGTCACACAGGCAGTGTCTTAGGGACACACCACTTGACACCCACAACTCGAAAAGGGCAAGTCTACTTTGGCTCACAGCTGCTGGAGGTTTCCGTCCACGGTCCACTGGCTCCAGGCGGGCGGCAGGGCAGAGGGTGCGACGGAGGAGAGCTGCTCAAGGTGTGGTGGGCAGGAAGGGAGGAGCCAGGAGGGGATGACCCCGTCCGGGTCACAACCCGGAAACCCTCCTCTTCCAACCAGCATCCCACCTCCCAACAGCGAGTCAGCTCTGAGCCTCCATCATCCAACTCCTTTCAAAAGCCCCTCCTTTGATCCATGAGGCTTTGGGGAGAAACCAAGGTGTAAGCCATAGCGTGCCTATCTGCTTTTCCCCCAATACACTGGCCATTAGCCATGTGTGCTCTTAATTAATACTAAATAAAATTTAAAAATCTGTTTCTGAGCCAGTTGCACGTGACTGATGACTGCCGCAGCCTTGCTGGGCAGTACAGACGCAGACGGTCTCCGTGTCACAGGGGACTCTTCAGATACTGCTGGCCCCTGGTCCCATCAGTGTGGCCCGTGCTGTAACACAGGCAGGGCCCACTGTTGTCCATTTTCACCTCTCCTCACATCTAACAATCCCATCTACCTTCCTAACGTTTTCGTTTTGATGCTTCTGCACAAACACATGGGGCGTATCCACCTGGCTCATGGATTTGGAATGGGCTAAATTAAAGTGCTCATTTTCAGGGTTACTTGTCTCTACCTACTTTAAAAGGCCATGGGAGAGGAAAAGATGGCCATGCAGGATTTTCTAGGTAGGGCATTTCAAAAATAGAAATCTGTTGAATGAAACAATGCCACAGTTAACTAACATTGAGTCATGAGGCTAAACGGGGCTTCAGGTTCACAAGCAATAGGAGCATGCTGGTCATACATGAATAAAATAAGTAAATAACAGGGAATACAGAAGATGTGCTACATGGAAAAATGAAGCAGGTACAGAAGACAAACACTGGGCAAGGGCTGCAAGTGGCTGTTGATATTTTAAATAGAGTGAGCAGGGAAGGCTTCGCGAAGGGTCATTTGAGCCAAAGCATTAACCCTGCAAAGCCCGAGGGCGGAGCTTCTGGAACATTCTAGAAAAAGCAGGGAAAATGCTGAGACTGCAACAGAGTGAGCGGCAACTAAAGACAGGTGAGTTAAAGACCACTTTCCTCTACTGCCGCCTGTGGTGTCCAGGCTGTAGGCAAATGTGACTTCCCCAGGGTAAGCAGGTTCCCCGGTTCCTCAACTGTCCTGGAGAGGAAGGACAGGGAAAACAGAAAAATAGTTTTCCTTTGCAGTGTCAAAGCCTCTTTAATGAATGCTCCAGATGTCCTGATTTTTATGGAAATGTTTTGCAAGTGCTTCTAAGAGGACTGAAAGCTTTTGTATTAAGAAAGGGGGCTTGGGGCTGGGCGTGGTGGTGCACACCTATAATCCCAGCACTCGGGAGGCTGAGGCAGGAGGATCGCTGTGAGTTCCAGACCAGCGTGGACCAACCAATCTCAACTACATAGTGAGACCCTGTCTCAAAAACGAAACAAAAAAAGGGGGCTTGGGCCAGGGATTTATTTAGCTCAGTGGTTCCACTGGCTCCCTCATAAGTGCAAGCACCTGAGTTCAATCTCCAGTACCAAAAAAAACAAAACAGAAAGGGGGCTCATTCCCATTAATTCTTCCTAGTTTTAATGCAACTGAGTTGCTATCTATATCTGCTTATTTTTATCACTTCTGTTTAGAAAAAATCTAGAGGAAGAAATGTCAAAATTGGTTAGAAAACTGTACTTAAACACCTTTAGGAAATGATTAACAATTTTGATAAAATTTGAAATAAGATAGATTATGTTTCTATATACCATCAAACAGTTTTGTTCATATTTCTCATGGTATGTTTTAGAAATAACCTTGGAAATTGTTACTGGGCTGGTTATAGGTTATAGTTCTGTTTTTGGTCCCGGGGATCAAACTCGGGTCCTTGTGCTTGCGAGGCAGGCAGCAGAACCACTGAGCCAAATCCCCGGCTAGGTTATAGTTGTAAAAGATAACAGGTGTAAAGAAATAAGTTTTGCGGTTTAGGCTAAATTCTTACAATGAGAACTATTAAGTTTGTTTGTGATTTACTTCTCATTTAACTATGAGGACAGGAAGCTCATCGGGGTCCTTTGCCCATTCTCACTGAGGGTGCCAACTTGTAAGATTTACCTGTCTCCTGAGTCTAGGTCAGGTCAGGAAGACCAGGGTTTGGATTCCACGTAACTGCTAACTCTGGCCGGGAAGTTGGGGCAGACTTCTGTGCTGCTGGTGACCATGCTGGCCACCTGCTCAAAAAATTCTGAGGCCTGGGTCCCTCAGCTGTGACACAGACCTACTGTGCCTGTAGCATCCGCACACACCTGTCTTGTCACTCCTGTGAGTTTTGGGAGGGAAAGAAAGTGACATAAATATGGTTATACAGTGTCACGTGGTGTGTCGTGAGGAATACAGTCCTTTGTCTCTGAACCAAGAATCCCGTGTATTCTGCCGGCACCCACCAAGCAGTAACTGGTGAACTTACTGGCTTATTTAGGCTCTCAGACCCTTCACAATGACCCAGCTCTGTGTTACAAAGTCCGAAAAATCTAAGATTCATGCCTTTTTCATTTTATACTGGAAATATGAAGTGCCACATAAAATGTGAACATCTGATGCCATCTTTCGCTTCACGTTTTGTGACTTTTTAGGAACCTCCAAAAGTAGATTAGAAATGAATACTTGTATCATTTAATAACTCCTTCCCCTCCATGTCCTCTCTTCGTTCCTTGCTCAGCTTAGATTCCGTTACCTAACGTTGTAATGACTTCCTGGAAAATGTCTATACTCGTCTCCTTTCATGCAATTTCTCTAACAAAATGTCAGTCAAGGCTAAGCGAATACTTCTCCCTGTGATGCGCAGCTGGAAACTGGATGGGCTAACTTTAAATTTCTGACCATAAATTGCAGTACCGCGGCATCAGGTGACCCTACTGTACTTCCCAGCATTCTTCCTATTTTTCACTGCCTCCTCTGTCCGTCCTCTGTCCTCTGGTGTCTCTGGCCCCACTCAGATCTTTCATGGAGATACGAGCCACGAGGCAGCAGTATCCTCAAATTCTCACACATGCATCTTCCTCATCTCTGATTTTCCCTCGAGTTAAAATGGGTAAAATATCTCTAACCCTGGTAAAGAACAGTTCCTCTAACCTTAGGGTTCCTGTCCTTCTAATTATTTGCTTCAGGGTTTCCTTTACCTCTGCTGGATTATACTACAACACCTGGCATATACTAGCTATTCAATAAATTTTCTTTGAGTAAATATACCTGGTTCCCCATCTTCCCATCTCACTGACGAAGTCTAGAACTTTGAAACTCATTTGTATCTTATCTCTCCATAAAGGCAATGATAGATTTTATAATATTTTAATTCAGACACTTTCCCAGCTATATTCTACTGTTATCCACATTATACATTATTTTTATTTTTTTAGCAATATTTTTTCCACTTACCTATTTACATGCCTATGTGTTTGCTTACCATTTTTTTTTGCACTTTTGACTTTGCACCTTACACGACTTAACTTCTCCCCAAAGTACAATACTGAGAATTTTCTTTAGAAAGGAGTTAACGTGGCTAAGTCCTGTTTTGTCTTCCAGCTACTTTATTTTGTTTTTATATTTTAAATTAAATTTCTTGGTATTCTTTCAATATACATAAAGATCACATTCACCAGAGGGAACCTGTACCTCTCCACCTCGTACATCTTCTTTTTTCCCATTCCTTTCAGCCCTTCTTACAATGACACAGCAAGAACGTGTTACCAGTGAGCAGGGCCTGAGTGCTCCCCAGACACTGAGCTTGCCAGCAGCTTGACCTCGGAGGTCCCAGGCTCCAGGACTGCATGGAGTAATCCCTGCTATACATTAGCCATCCAGTTTAGGGTATTTTATAGCTTCCAAACAGAGCACGGCAGGAAGCACACCTGCTTATCTCTTGCATAAAGTAGCTCCAAAATCTGGAATATTTGCAGGACCAATTTTACTACCTGCCATTGCAGTTGGCTTTTAAGATATTTCATTTTCTTAAATGTTATCATGAAGTCTGGTTTCCTGCACTTCATGCCAATTATTTGAGCCTTTGGTTAAAACTAAGGCTGTGCTATAGATTGTGCTACTTCTGGTTGCTGGCACAACACTTCTAACTTGGGATGATAAATTAAGATCTCAAGTTGAGTCCTTCTGACCACAGAAGCCGTAAAAATCAAGGTTTCAAGCTCACAGGGTAATTTTTTCCCCTTGCCATTTGGTGCCAAAATAGAGCCAGGCACCTTTTCTTCCTATCTTGTTTGAAGCACATTTATTTTCATTTCTTGTACTGAGGGGAGACTGCTGTATACAGCAATCTGCAATTACACTGCCTACATACGTATTTGTTTTGTCTTGTAGGACCCAGGTGGTTGGGGTCCAGGGGATACCGTTCGCTTCAGTGCTGGCTCTTCTAGAGCTCCTTGCACTCAGTGTTTGGCCTCTACAGATTCTGTACATCCTTTGAAACTCGGTGATGTTGCTAAAAAGACTGAAAATAATCTAGTCCGCCATCTGGGGCTTATTTTCAGGGGTAGGATCATTGGGGGACCCAGGTGCCTCCCCAAAACAAAGTTTACACATCTCTCCATGTCCATCTTTACTTTCCCGTTCTAGTCTAAGACACTGACCTCTCTCACAGCTAGAACTTCCCGAACCTGTGTGTGTGTGTGCTCCTGTACTCCCAATTTATTCTCTAATTAGCAGCCAGAATATCTTTAAAATGTTTGTCCGAGCATTCCCCTTCCTTCTGTAAAACTCCCTAAGGAGGAGAAAGGTCGGGGTGGGGGAGGGAGCTTAAGGAGCTGGGACAGAAAGGATCGAGTGACAGCTACTAGTATAGGGTGATGAATGCGCTCTGAAATGGACTGGTTACGGCTGCTCGGCACTACAATGTACTAAAAAAAAAAATCACTGGACTGTACACTCTAGTCAATCGTACGGTAAGTGATTATATTTCTATAAAGCTGTCGTTTAGAAAACAATGACAATAGCTTTCCAGCACTGTCAGACACGTGAACTAGGGACCTTGAGTCTGCTCTTCCAAGAACACCAGCAAAAACTATCAAAATACACTTCTGTGTAACTCCAGTAGTTAACAAAAGGCTTGCAATTGTGTAAGGAGCATTTATTCAAGAATGAGGCTGGCCGGGCGTGGTGGCGCACACATGTAATCCCAGCATTTGGGAGGCTGAGGCAGGAGGATCGCTCTGAGTTCAAGACCAGCATGGGCTACATAATGAGTTCCAGGTCAGTCCCAACTACACAGTGAGGCACTGTCTCAAACTGCCCCCCCCAAAAAAAGAATGAGGCTGAATTGCAAGAAAAATGAGTTTTGTGGGATTTTAACTTATGCTATTCCTATTTTGTGTTTCACCAGCCCCTCGGTGGCCTTAACTACCAGCAGCCTTCCACAGTTTCTGTGAAAACTGCTAATGAGGAGCTATGGGAGAGGGAAAAATGATTTTGAAGCTCCCCCAGAAAGACCATCCCCAGAAAGTCTTCTCCTTGGTTTGTCCTTATCTGGCCAGACTCACCGCTTGCTTAGCACAAACAGCCCCACTCCCACAGAATTTGGAAAAAACAATCAGCAGCAATCGTTTAACCTCACAGCGCCGGGCTCGTGGTACCAGCTCAGGCAAAGCAGCAGCTAGTCAGAAAATGCCAAAGAGAAGAATAAGAAATCCCATGCTGCTGAATCAGGAGCAAGGCATGGCATTGTTAAGATGCTATTAAGTCTCCAAATTTATCTAGAAATTTGGCACAATCCCTATCAAAATCTCAACCACCCCACCCGTTTTTGCAGAAATGGACGAGTTGATCCTTATCACAAGATTTCTGTGGAAATGCACAGGGCTACAGAACCGCCAACACGACCTTGGAAACGAATTAATAAGGAGAACTCCTACTTTCTGAATTCAACCCTCCTACTAAACTAGTGATCAAAACAGTGTGACACTGGCACAAGAGCAGGTGTAGAGGGCAATGGAATAGAACTAAAAGTGCGAAATGTTCCATAACTGTGAGGGACAACTGGATAGCAACATGCAAACAAATGGTGTTCGGTCCCTACCTCGAGGTGTATAACAAAAAGGTACTGAAGTTGAAGTGTAGACCTAAGTGTAAGGAATTAAACTATAAACGCAGAAGAAAACATAGACTTAAGTCTAACTGTGTGACCTTGAGTTAAGAAAATAATTTTTAGCCATAATACAAAAGCAAACACCAAAAGTTAAACACCTAAATTGAATTTCATCAAAATTTAAGATGTCTGCATCTCGAAGGACACTCTCGAGAAAAAGAAGACAGCCCAAAGAACAAAGAAAACATTTGCAAGTCTTAAACCTGATAAGGGACTTACAGACAAAATATATAAAGAACTCATACAACTCCATAAAGAACAATATAACTCAATGTTTAAAATGGTGAATGTTACGGAGGAACCACGAATACATCATGTTAAGGGAAGATAGTCAATCACAGAACGCCAGATATTGAACCATTTCATTCACAGAAAGTGTCCAGAACACGCAAACCCATGGAGGCAAGACGGGGAACGGTTGGCCGGGAGGGCGGAAACGGGAAACACCCCCGTGTGGGTACAAGATGTCTTCGTGGGGTGCTGAGGCCCCTCCTCCTCCAAGCTGCCGTCACCCACCGCCTCGCTGTCCAGACCTCACAGTCCTTGGGGACGTCACGGAGCCCCCCTCCCCAGGTGCTCGTCGCCATCGTCCGCTTGGCCGATTCCTTCCTGCCTTTCACATCTCGGCCTGAAAATCATCCCGGTGAGGCTTTCCGCCTCCCCACTCTAAAGGAGCTGCCTGGCCGCTTGGCTCACCTGCGTACTTGTCCTGTACCGTTTATCCATTTAATCTGCTTTCGACACTAGGGTACTTCTTACAAGCCAAGTACTTCTGAGATAATCGGAATGACCCAGGGACAAAATTTCTGCCCTCCTGTAATGGTGTAAGTTGGTGGAGAGCGGACAAATAAACGCATAACGTTAGGCAGAGATGTAAAGTACAGAGAAAAGCGAAACACGAATAACGGAATGCAAAGCTGTCAGGCCGAGGGAAGGAAATGCTACAGAAGGTAATCAAAACTGTTAGATTTCTACACACTGTAACGTAGTAACAGACATACTGCCGTGAATCCCCTCAGAGTCTTCCCCCTTGCTGTGAACACTTATCCTATGTTTCTTTTCATTTTCTGAAGCAGTTCTGAATGCTTTCCTGAGTGTCAGGTGCGATTACAAAAAAAAAAAAAAAAAAAA